AATCAGAGCATGCACATGCAGCAATAGAGAATGAATATGCTATGAATGAGCCTGCATGTTTATCCTTCTTTACACTGAAGGTATTTGGAAAATGCTATTATGTTTCCATGCATGCGGCGAGCTACTCAATTGCAACAACGTATGTAATTTTATAAGAAATATTAAAAAAGAGCATAGAAAGATTTACTTGTGCATGTGTTGAGTGGAAGGCACAAAGGGAAATACTGGAAGCCTTCAGCGCAAACACTCTTTGGATGTTGAAGGACTGGATACCTAAGGCCTTTCAGACCAGAGATTTAATTTCTACTCTTCACTTTTCTAGCGTTGCTGCTTGGGAATGTGGTACTCTTTATCAATACAGAAATAAAAGGTCCTGTCTTTCAAAGCAACAGCACAATAAAAGAAAGCAAAACCTGACCTCCTTTGTTAGTAGCAGTGTTGAGACAAACTGCAGCTCTGACCTATTTCTCCAGAGTTACAATTATCTGCTGTAACAGTACCACTTCACTTTTTAAATCCCGGATTACTGTACTTTGAGATTTAGAGAAGTTACTCTCTTTCTGATTACAGACCTTGTTACATCAGGGGCAAGCCAGCATGAAGAATGAATGAATGCACATGAATGAGCAAAGACAAGGCATGTGATCAAGTCATCGTAATGAATTTGTAATTTTTATTTGAATATGCTTATATAAATATATTTTATGTACATTTATTTAGATACACTTTAATGTATGTATATAGATATATTAAAAATATACTTCTGTATCCATATGCATCCCCACATATTATAGAATGATCTAAACTGAGGTCGTGTGGTGAGGGAATTGGGTATTGTTCATTTGTTTGGCAGACTGTGCTTTGCTGAGATATGATCAGACTCTCTATGCACCATTGGAACGATAAATATAAAAGACTTCAAGAAACCAAGTTCTTACGTATTCAGAGCCAAGCCCCTTGGTGATAAAAGTTGACATAGCTGCCTTTAATTCGATTTAATACTTGCTTAAATCAGTGGAAGGAAAGTGAATTACATTACATGAGGATCTGGTATTTATAATCTGACTTTTAAATTTTATTTTAACAGTGTATCCAGCCTTACAAAACCAAATTTTTTTCCCCTAACTTTCATATTTATCTATGTAACAAAAATTGGTAGAAAATATGTTCTGTTTTCCTCAAGTCAGATTTCCTTATTAAACTTTCAATCTTCAGAACACATCATTCACCTTTTTTTGTTTTACCAGCAGCATTCACATACCACTGTGCTGGTAAAAAACACTGAGTCCTGTCAAGCCCAGTCACACAGAAATCATGAATCAGGTTGTCACAAACCATAGGATTAGCTCTAAAACTGAGTTTTCAGGGGAAAAAAAAAAAAAAAACACAAAAAACAAACAAAACCAAACAAAACAAACAAACAAACACCCCACCCAAAACAACATAACCAACTTTTATCTTTTTATTTACTCTCTGTTTTCTAGCACATTTTCAGCTTTGCCCCAACCCTTAAACACTGACAAAACACTTAACACCACAACTCTTACACAGTCTTATGCCAACTGCTGAAAACATAACTCTCCACTTTCAACAGGAACCGTACATAGTTCACTCAGGCCATTCATTTCACACAGATTAGGCTTATTTTATTCAATCCTCTTATTTTTGTCTGCCTTCAGTTTAATGGAAAATCATTCCTGTTTTTTGGCCACAGATTAACTCTATACAAAGTGATCAAATAAAATAGTTGTTCAGGGCCTGGTTTTGCCCTGTTACTTTTCACCCCTATCAGTAAGATGCTACAAGCACCATCCACAGAGCACATGCATTTTAAAGAGAGAAAGCCTTGCAGTGGTTGCAGAAGGCTGAGTTCAAGCAAGGATAAGAAAGTAAACTATAACTTAACTTGAATTCCTTTTAGTGAGGGGCCCCATTTGATTTTTGATTCCTATGTGAAGTAATTAAGTTCTGCTCTGAGGGGAAAGGTACTCAATGTAGTTTTGAGGAAGACATTTATGGCTTCATCCCCGGAGGGCTGACATGCAGGCTAAGCATCTGCTAGCATCAGCTAAATATGCAGGGGAGAATACAAGTATTTGGAGAAGCATTAGGATAAGCTTTGGCTGAGGCAGCTGAGAAAAATGAAAAATTAATGCTGTTATTTAAATTACTTCAAGAAATTTTAAATTTTTCCTGTCTTTTTCCATCAAGGTAGCAAAGGAGGAATTCAGATTCCACTAATGGAAAGTTTTGGAAGAGAAATGAACAGAAGATATTGCCATGGTTTGCTCAAAAATGAGACAGAATATTTTCATTACTCCGGAGGGACATTTATGGGGAACAGGCAAAAAGGTGGGTGCGTTTGAAGTGACAAGAGTGTTTTGCTCTAGAAGTGACAACATACACTAATCTCCAAAACTAACTATAAGAATAAAACAAACGTTTTTCTTGTTCTCTGAACAAAACCACTCAGCAAATACATCAGAAAAGGTGGATAAGTAATCTATTCAGTCTTGGTTCTCTCTCTCCAGGCAATTTCAGGTGCTCTTTGAATCTTGCGGCTCTTAGCATAGCAATAGCATGCATTTCTTAGATAGGACTTTTCTATAATTTTCTTCTTCTTTTTCTCTACGTACAAATTTTTTTTTGTGATAGCAAGATACACACATTAAGGTGTCTTCCACTGTATAATCGATTATATAGTTACTATGGTTATTATCATAATCAATTACTTTGCTTCCCAGTAAAATGCCTAGTTACTTTCAAGGTCAAGACAATTATAAGTGTTCAATATTTAACAATTACTTAATATATATTCAAGTAAAATTCCTCATAATATCAACAGACAATTTGATAAAGACTTAAAATTTTAAAGTTTGTTATAAAGATTTCACGACAGATAACAATTTCAATTAAAAGAAACACAGATTTAACCCTATCATCTAGTTGGACCAGTCTTATCAGAGACAGACAATAAAACTGACTGTATGGTCAATCACTCTGTAGATGTTGACTGCAGCTGAATACAGTGTCTGTCCCCTTGCATGTATTCAGAATAAAACACAGATATCAAAACAAAGGCTGTGGTGAAGGTTATAGCAACAAGAAACACCTTTTACATTTCAGCCCTTCAGAAGTATCACCCATGTCCAAGTCAAACTGGGCTTAGTCTGAGGTAAATTTCAGCCACGGTTTTGTGTCTTCTACAAACTGCACTTTTCCAGTATGTTATCTTCGGGATACCTTGTATCACCAGAAATGTAATAATCTAATAGAGACAGATGAAAATATATGTATCCATTTGTACAGATGTAATAGAAGTACTAATTATCTCTTACATGATGCAGTGTTTAATATTAGGTAATGTTTCTAGTCTATACATAAGATTCTGGATTATGAAGTATATCCCATAGCCATTTTTTCAGCTGTTTCTCTCATCTTCTCAGAACAGAACACTTTGTTACAAGGAAATTATAGCAGTAGCAATTCATTGCTAAGACAAGATATATTTTTTACAATGGAGCCTAACTTATTTTTCATGATTAAAAACTTAGAGTAACTTACCAATTGTATTTTGACATCACTACATCTTAAAGACAAAAGCAGTTAAACTTTATAAAGTAGTAAACAGTTTGTCAATTTTGAGCTGGATTTCAGCATACGAAATTTTGACCAAAATAGGGAAAACATTGCAATTAACTATAGAACTGGTCAGGTTTTAAATGCTGATTAAAACCAAATATATTTAAAATCCGAAACGTGTATCCAGCTCTCCTCTCTTCTCACTTTATCCCTGCTATCTCAAAGGGTAGTTTTGGAAGAAGAAGAAATAAAATTTCTCATCACCATCTGTTATCTGACATTTTTAAAAAGTCATTGTTTGACCAGTAATGAGAGAGTTAGCAGAATTTGGGCTATAAATCATTACCTTCTAATTTGCAAAGATGGTACATTTTTAAAGGCAAAACAGATAATGCCCTATGTAGAAATGGCCACATCACCCAAGATACAGAGCCTCATCCAAGCATTAAAATGCAAAACAGATGGAGGAAACCTTTCAAGGAAATATACATACGGAGAAAAATTGCTGTGAAATGTAAGGAAAGAAAACTCTTCCAAGCTCAACAGGACCATAGAAAGTGTTAATGACCCAAGGATTATCTTTTCCAAAACTAAACGAAAGACACAAGTATGAAGAAAGATGTTCTCCTAACATCCAAACATCTAATCAGGAAATAGCATATACCAACATGGGATTATCCCCAGAAGATGAAATTAGAAAGGATTTCCCATTCTAGTTACATCAATTTTTAAGGATCAAGTTTAGACAAAATATCCCAAAGCTAACTTGACAACTTCACAGAATAAGGAAAAAAATAAAAAAACAAAACCAGATGTTCTGTGTTACAGGAAACTTCATGTTAATGAATCATGTGCATTGTATAAGCAAAGGACAAAAAAACCAAAAGGACCATCTGAAGGTCACAGAATAGATCGCTGTTGTGCTAGGCATTGTGAAAACGTGGAGTATGAGACCGCTCCTGCTTCAAAGAGTTTAAGCTAATAATGTAAATAATTGAGTGGGGAAAGTGATAGAACCCAAGTCAAGGGAAGAAACGTTGTAGCAGAAAAATGGACATTTGGGCTTATTTCCTCTGCTCTAGGGCAGTGTACCTAGGAGGGCACTATAAAATGAAATAGAAGGGAAATGAGGAAGGAAGAGAAGACAAGGACCACTGCAGAGGGACTGACGAGAAGGGCTGTGGGAATCACAAAGCAAGACAGAAGAAAATAACTGAGCTCCAGGCTCAGGCTTTCCCAGGGAATGTGTGATGATTAGGAAGGAAGGTACTAGCTGGGTCCTGCCTGGTGTGAATGTTGTGTTAAGCTGATGATGGTTATAGTGATTTGTGGTGCTGTGATACATAAGAAGATGATGGATAGATGGATGGACAGATGAATATATATATATATATATATTCTTTTTTTTGGCAGAAATAGAAAAGGTAGATCTCATTGACTGCAGTAGAATGTGATTTCAACAAATGTAAACAGCATTTGGGTAAGAAATCTGTAAATAATTTTTGTTGCTGTTTCTGATTTCTGTATCATTTGCTCAAAAGAAACATGCCTTATCATTGTGGAAGCGTACAGGCTCTGAAGGTTACACTTTGAAGCCTGTGAAGGTCTCCTCTAAATCCACACTTTCCACACACCTAAGGCACATACGAATGCATCTCAGTGTTTATGCCTGCCCTACTATGGGGGTCCAAACATACCCTTTTGTATTATTGGATTAGCAGATCACTGATTATCAGCATGTTATAGACTTCTACAATGAAGAAACATTTACATTACACAGATCACAGGAACATCTACATATGTGGGAGTGAAATGGGCACCCTGAACATAAGTGACTGTGTTTTTCTATAATTGAACATGAGACAGTCTGAACACTACATGAGTGAAAATGAAATGTGTTTCTTCTTCAGACACTCAAAGTGAGTAGAGTAGGAGGGGGGAATAAACAGGTCTATGCCCATACGGCTATGTTAAGAAGGCACCAGGACTCAGTGACTGACAGAGAAAATGGCTCTACAAGTGGGGGTCCATTCTTCATGACAGCCATCTCATCCTACTTGTTTGATAAAACACTCTGTAAAGGATTAGTTTTAGCTGTTTGGCTCTGGATAGAGAAAATGTGATGTGTGAGCTGTGTAAAGTCATAAACTGTTCAGAGAGGAGCTGTGCTTTGCTTAATCACAATATCTTAACTGTCTCTTGCTCTGAAAGAATAATTTTCTACATCTTTTTTCTTCTGCTTTCTACCTTGGCTGTGGTTCTCCTCTCTCCTTCCTTACTACAGATTTTATTTGCTTGCTCATGGGGGAAAAGTAATAGGTAAGAAAAGCCTAATTGAGGCAAGATTAATGCAGTTCCACTGAGAATAAAGAAAAGATTTATTCTCTCCCTCCCTTCCACAGATGTCTTGTTAGGGATTCAGCCTTGCCTAACATATGTACCTTTATACATTTACTTCCTTCTCGTCCTCTGGGAGAAGCCTATCTCATGTAATTTATTGACTTGGCTGCCTTGTTTGTATCCATGTTAATAGTAAGATGTATTGAATGCTCACATATTATTCTTATTCTCAGATGTGAGTGAAGGAGGTTTATCTATGTTGAAAAATATGTACATTTGGCTTGCCACAACTAGGAGTTACCATAAAGAAAATGTTGAAATTGGAGCCTCTGAGCTGGCAAGAAATGTAAAGGCTTGAAAGGGGGGAATCCAGCAGAGCTGCTGAAATAAAGCATCAAGTTCAGAAGAAATGGGCAGCCTTGTGATCCCGCTCTATGATTTTCTTTCTCTTAGCTGACTCTCATCTTGGGCTGACAACTTCAGCTAATGCCGACAAACAGCAAGTGATGGAAATACTTATTTTAACTAACTGATGAAAGGCTGTGAGAGGAGATGAGGAGAATTTAGGAGTCAAATTTAATTTATATATAATTGACTCAGGCAAGAGGAAGGAGCTTGGGCCAAACACTGCATGCAACGCTTCTCACTAACCTTGTACTTGAGACTGGTATATCAGAAGGTTCTTTACAGTTCTTTCTGGAAAGGACAGCTTTGAAGGTCACCCCATGGCATCACTGTAAAATTTTACTCCATCAGAGGGACAGACCCTTACATCAACCCAGAAAAGGAGTTTCTTGACTCACTGTCACATTCAGAAACCTGTCACTGACATTAATGAGGTCAAAACAGGCACCGGGCCTTTATACTAGGCAGCTATATTTACTGAAATTGTCTATATTTTTCTATATTCAAAATGACATTTTCTTTTTTACTTTTCAGAAGAGGATTTCTAACTGGGTACTTTAAATATTCTTTTCTTCCATGTTCTTCTGAGCTACCTGAAATTTTATTGGGTAATTATGAGAACGTAAATGCCAAAGCACACTATTATTGATATTTACCTATTAGCTCCAGAAATGTAACACTCCTATACACCGACCATGTGTCCTTGTTCAGGGAAGACCATTCATACTCCTGCTGGTTTATTTTTTACTGCAGAATGCAAAATTAATCTCAGTTCATTGTAAGACATGCTAAACTCTTTTCAGGTTGGGATGCTCACCAGTCCATGGCTGCACATTATAAATCTTTGAACTCCCATCATCCAGATCAGCCTTCTGAGATACTTTCTACATAGCCTAAAACCAAGTCAAGAAAACAAACTTGTCCTGTGCATCTCTTCATTCCCTTCAGAACTCCTATCGGTCAGTCTGTTTGCTACGGACTAATTTTCTATCATTTGTTTGATTCCCTATATGAGCACACTGATCACATTTAATACCTTTTGGGGAAGGTAAATGAGATGGTAATTTGGGAGTTATTTCTGAACAGTGATGCTCATTTTAAATAGGAAAATTCTGCTGCTGCAAAGAATTAGGGATTGTTTTCAGCTCATGAATAATCAGTAGTATTTGAAAATTATTTCCACTGATCCATCTCCAAATCAAAAAGGGGCATTTCTCCTCTCAATCTGAGGTCAATGCAGAGAATTTACCTTAATCTTTACTAAACCATCCAACCTCCAAAACTAATAGTTGCAGTCAGACAGTTGGCAGGTCACAAATACTGGCCCTGGGGGGGTTGTCATGACTGTGAGTAAGCAATTTTACTGCTCAACAGATCACCAAGAGATGTTTTAACCTTAGCAATTATTTTTCTCAAGGTTAATGACATCATGAAAGGAGCCAGAAACTTATTCCTTTGGACAATTATAAGCAGAGTTTGCTTTTGACATTGATATTTATAGGGTCCCAACCATCAAGAGGCTTGCAGCAAGAGGTTATATGGGTCTCCAGAGCAACCCTGCCAAAAGCTAGGAAAAGTTCCAAAATAGCAACAATCCATGATTTGATTGTGCATGGCTAATTGTTTTTCCTGAAAGAAAATCTCACATGTTTGGCAGGTACCTTTGTAACAAAGAGATAGCAAGGGTTGTAAATCCCTGAACAGCTATTATTGCACAATCAAACTTTGTAACTCATATATGTCTCCCCTGGAAATACAGTAATACGCTGATGAAGCCAGAAAAAAAAAGGGATTTGGGGCCATGGTATTTCATTACAAGCTCTAGAGCAGAAACTTGAGACTATTTTAAAGAAATAATTACTTATGAAATGTATTGGTATGGTACATATCAACATATATATATGCAATATACATGCAGTGAAGAGGTCTACTAGTTCACTAAATAGAAAAAAACACTATGAAGACTGTATTTTTATAAACACAATGGGGGACAAACACAATCGTCTCCCACAAAGACAATTTCTTTCTGTCTATCACTGTTCATGAGTGAAAGGAGGACACAGGTAGGAGGAAAAATTTGATGAATCAACAATCTACTCTATTCCACTCTACTCGACTCTGTGCTACTCTACTCATGCCACAGTCCAAACTCTCTTGTTTCATGGAGAGGGGGAAGTCTTCTCTTGTGGACTAAATCCATGTTGAATCTTGGCTGTCTCTAGTTGAATGTCTGAGCATCTAGTTTCCTTTATCACTTGGAAACAGCTATTGGAGATAGGCTTGGCTTTAACTTATTCAGCTGATGGTTATATCGGATTTATGGTGATTTTATCAGAATAGATAGAGATATAAATATTTTTTATATTTTAAGCAGAAATGGAGAAGGGCTGGTGAGATGTTCCCCCAAATAATAATTATAATGAGATTTAGACATGCCATTGTAAGTTATACCTAGAATTTGGCTTTACCATATTTTAGAGAAAGAGAAAAACAAATCTGAACAGCTGCCAGGGAACATTCAAGGATGACAGGGAAAAGGAAAACCTATCTTCTGATCAGAGACTAAAAACAAAGAGGATGCAATTGCACTCTTAACACAGAAGTGGTATTAACAGCATTTGGGGACAAGCTTAATGGAAATTAAAGGACAACGTTGGAACAGAACAAATGGCTCCAAGCTGAAAATTAATATGTATAGGCTGGATATTAAGCAAAGTTTTCTAACCATAATGTTTTATTGGCATGGAGTAGAATTTTAATCTGATTATCACAGGAAGATAAGAGGTGAAGCCTAGCCATATTATAAAAGGTTAAAATGGTCCAGAAATATCCTTCTAGTCCTATACATTTAATTCCTGTGTGCGGCATGCCTAGAACAAAGACAAGGCCTGTAGGCAGGCTTAGCTGCAAAGGAATTGGATAAGAAAAATTGGAAAGAAAACCAAATAGCTCATAAATTTCTTGCTGAGATTTCCTGTTGCCTCAGACATTGTCATCCACGTTGCAATTTCATAGATTCAGTCTGTTCTGTTCATTTTTACAAATGTGACCAAAAAGAAATGAGCTAGCAAATACTCAGTTAAGCAAACATATTTCTAGATTGATTAAAGATGGGACAGTGAGCAAATACAGACTGTTGTTGATGGCATGAAATAGAACCACTTTTGTTCTACATGCTTTGCTCTTATCAGCCTGTTTCTCATTTACCCTTCCAGAGGCCATTCTTTTGGTAGCATTATAACTCATCTTGTATATTTGTGCATTTCAGGTGGCAAGCAATCTTTTTGTTTTAGGCCACTATAGATTATCATAATTAATTTATTCATGCTTTTTTGGTGTAAAATTTCTTAGAGATAATCCCTTTTTTTTTTTTTCAGAAAATATATTTTTAAAAAAATCTATCAGGAATACTTGGGTGATTCTTTGCTGAGAAAACTTATCAGAATATAAACTCATAAGCTAAAAGTAGTCCTTTATACAAGTATACAATGACCTTATAAACATATTTTTTCTGTATAGCAATACCCTCAATGTTTCTTCAGTTATTTCATATTTTTTATTAAGAAAGACTAAACCTTTTCCTGTCTCAATAGGATATACAGCCCAGGTTTTGTATACTGGCTTTTAATTTTAAAAAATATTTTAATTTTTTTATTATTTTTAGTTTTTAACTAATAATGTTGGCCACAAGCTTAACATGCCAATCATCTCCTGGCTTTGGATCTGTTGCAGGGGTTATCTGTTTCCTACATGATTATCCTTGCAGATTGTATACCTTTGAACTGTGTATCAACTGGATTATTTTTTCTGATCCAGGACTTCCTACGGGAGCCTATTCATTCTCTACTGCTATCTTCCTAAATGACCTCTTTCAGTTTTAATGATGACCAGGTAGTTTTCAAGCTCTCAGCAGCTAACCTCTCCAGAAGGCTTGGCTGGAAAGCCGTCAATTAATCACAGGCAGGACTGAACCCAGACTCCCCTAAAAAGCCAGTTTCTCAGTGATAAACTCATTACCTGCTGGCAACATTTAAATTCTCTGGTCATAGCTATTAAAAGCCAGAATAGTTCAATAGATCACTGTGTCTGTCTCTCTCCATAAAACAGACCATTACCTTTCATGCAGTCACCTCTGAACTAAGCTGAGCAACTTGGATATGGTGAAAATACATTTGAAAAGAGCAGCCGGTGATGCTTTAGGAGTATCAGAAGACAAACATTTGGTTCTTGAGCAGTTTGCCTTCTGTTTAATCATCAGGAAAACTGGGAGGTACTTCTACCTTGAATCTCCCTGGTTTGTGTTTTTCCATTCACTAGCTTACCATAACCTAAATTTTCAACTTGATAAAAAATTTCAACTGGCAAGCAGTATTTATAATGCCCATAACTTCAACTATAGCATTTTCTTATAAATAATTTGTATAAAAGCATATGCTTGCCTTCTATAGAGATGTACAAGCTAGTTATTTTACAGGTAGTTCAGTTACTGAACATACTCAGCCACCTTAAAAATCTGAAAGACAAAGCAAATGTGCTGTACTGGGAAAAAAACTGGGGACGGATATTCAACCCTACTTGTTAAGAACCACACACTACGAGAAAGTGTCTAAGTCTCAACCAAAGCCCTCTCCTTATTATTATTAGCATGTGTTTTTTTTCATACCAGAAACTTGTAATGTTTCTGTGAGCTTCCCAAAATGTGTGTAATTGGTAAAGCCAGCACCATTACTGATACTAGGGGTCTTTTTCCTTTGAAAATAAATGAGTAAACCTTGAAAACAACTTCAGGGAGGGCAGAGAACTGCATAGAACTACTTTGCTTTAATCATCTAGAAAATACCTTTTCCTCAAGTAGGAGGTTTCAAGGTCAAACATGTGTCTTATTATTTTTCAGCTAAGATTGGGAAGATGATAAAAGACATGATACATCTTTAGTCCTGTCTCCACATCCTGAAATAAAGAAGCAATCTTACATCGTGGATAAGCTCATTCTTTTACAGATGATGGGTGGGTTTATTCATAAGCTATCGTTATTTGTGCTTCCAGACATGTTAAATTATAAATGCAGATGAGGGTTGTACTTTAATGCTCAGGAAGCAGCCTTGCTAAACCCTTTGGCAGGGCTGTTGAACTAAACATATAGCTTTTATCTGTCAGAATCTCTTGGGGCACATTAATCCTTTATTTGTAGGTTTGTCAGATGAAAAGGAGCTTGAATGGTTTGATATTTTTTTTTATTGTGTCTGAAATACTATTGGTGCTGTATACCAAGCAGATAAAGCCAGCATCGAGATACCTAAAAGCTTACGTGATGCCTCTTTCATTTGCAAGATACCCAGCTGACCTGCTGCTGCTCAGAAAACTGATGGTTGAGGCCAAGGAACAGCCCGTGACTTGCAGTTCCCACTAACAGGCCCATTGGTGATGACTGGCAAACAAGGCCACTGTGAAATAAGAAATGAGTTTGTCTAGAAGGATAAGCCAGACAATTATATGCATATACATGATGGCTACTGTGGGCTACTAGTATGTTTAACCGAATTGGCAGCTATAACACTGGCTAAAGTTACCTTTGTATCGAGAGTTCAGTAAACTACTGAATGAACTATTTGTGAGTGCTTGGAATGGTTTCATTTGAACAGCCATCTCTAAGACACAATATAGCTCTCCGTGAACGGGAAGATTTCATGTTATCCCCTTGCTTTCTTCCCATCCCCTCTTGACTATTTATATATACAATATATAATATGTAGTTACAAAAGTCAGCTGTGCATGTGGTTTGGTGGTGGCACTGGCCTAGGCTCTGTGCTCTGATGCCCGCGTCGCTTTTCCTTCTGCCACTGTGAGAGACAAAGTACACGGCTGGACGGGCCGATGGTTTGATGCAGCAGGGCGTTTCTTATGCTCTTATGCTAGTTTGATCCTACAAATCCTTACTTACAAAGCAATCTTCTCTCATATAAGTAGCTTTGAGCACTCAGGCAATATAAGATTCTTCATCTGAGCATCAGATCCACATTTTCTGTGAAACAACATGGGTCACGGTCAATTTTCGGTAGGTCTTTCTTTGACAGAGGTGAATCAGAGGTTTGCTGTTTTTAAGTGGGAAGCCTGATTTTCTGTGCCAAGTACCTTGTCAGGTATTTTTAAAGCTTATCATACCCAGGTATTCCACACAAAAGTGACACTAATGTTTTGAGCAAAATGGGAGAATAGCAGCTTAATTTCATGCAATCCCTTCAATGTCTCTTTTTAAACTTAGACAGGATTCGAAGTTGTTCAGACTGTTCCAGTTCTGAATGGCTTACCGAGTTCTGAAAATCTATTATTTAGATCTTCCTTTGCTTTTAATGTAGTTTTCTCCCCCCTTTAGCATGAAATTTGTCAAAATCAAGGCAATATCTTTTAAAGTCTTTTCAGAAAGAAAAATGGACTTCTGTTTTCTACCTAGTCCTGAAGTCAGGAAGACAGAAATATGAACAGTGGGCAAGAAGACAGGCACTGGAGCAGCATTTAGTTCTGTACTGTAAGCAGGCAGAGGAGTAATTTTATGCCACAAGGAAGCTTTGTCTCCATTAGATACCAAAAGATGCCATTCTGTTAATGGCAATATCAGATTTTCATCTTGCCATTTGTACATTTGTTCATTTTCACACATTAGAGCAGTGGTTCCTTCAGCGTGAAAGTACAAAAAGTGCTGTGATTTCATTTTAAGCCAAACCATTTTTTTCTCCACTTTCCCACCCAGAAGAGCCATAACTTGCTTCATGCCAAGTTAGCCATAAATGTGAAAGGTGAAGAGACCACATATTCACCATCATTGTATGCAGGTTGCTTGGGACTCTTGTGTATTCTGCAGGCATATAAATGTGGCCAAATATATCATGAATCTCACTGAAATGGATGATTAATATGTGAATATACAAAATTAATACACTGTCATGATCGCAAGAAAAATACAAGAAAAAGATTTATTATACTTGTGTGGAACACTACAGATTATGTAGAGACATAAAAAAAGACTTCACATTTCACATTTTCATATTTCAGTTTTATGTTTTACATTGATTATTAACTTTAAGTGGCTTACAGTAAGAGAGAGGAAAGCAATAACATGGATAGGAGGAAGAAATTAAACAACAGACCAAAGAAAAAATGTTGTTAGTGATTTATACTCTACAGTTCAATATGCCCATGAAAGAGTGCGTGTGTTCTTTTTGTGCTTCAACTCATATAGTTGATTATGAAAATCCATTTTTTTTTTCTTTTTTTCCTTTTTTCTTTTCCCCAGGGAGGACATATATCTGTAAGTCAAGTAAAAAGAGTCTTAAGAACAACTACATCAACAAGGAAGCAATGCAGAAACAGAAACCTGAAATAATATTTAGTCAAGCCCATTAATTATGCAACTCATTTTGTACTGATGTAAGTAGATTCTTAATTCTGAAGCATCTTGTGCCTAGGGAAAAGGAGTGGAAGAGACTGTTATGTCCCTGTAGACAGCAGCTGGTGGGGAGCATGATACAGTGAAGAGATGGAGAGCAGGAGACATGCAAAACCTCAAACAGTTTGCAAGTCAGGAACAGGGGAGATACCCAAGGAGAGGAGAATATGGACCTCAGGAGAATAAATTATTTTAGAAACATGTATATATCTGAATATGACTCATCTTTATATCAGATGAGAGATCAGATATAAAAGGAAATTTCTGTGATGAAAAGTGGAAGGTTGTCGTCAGGCCATGGAAAAATCTCTTCATGAATTCATTACTTCCATGTTGGAATTCAGGCACAGAGAAATGTAAGTTCAAACTAGCTCACATGCTGCAACTCTTGAAGGGTTTTTTTAAAAAATTAGAAATCATATCTGATCTCTCCTTTGAAAATAAAAAAAGATCTTGTACAGAAAGTTACAAGAAGTTCTGGATCAGATTCTGTGGTCAGCAGCTCAAGCATCTTAATATGATCAAAGCTCCAATCTCTTTTTTTCAAAAGAAAGTTCAGATTCCTCTGTGTTTGTGCTCAGTGGTTGCAGCATGACAAACATCCAACCAGCAATAGCCAACGTTATGAAACAGCTGAAATGGAGGACAATGACAACCCATTTTGGGATAGAACTGTAGCTGAACCACAGTAAAACATCACCATCACTAGAGAATTAAGTACTTTGTCAGTCACTGTAAACATCAACTATCATACCAAATTACAGCTACTATTCCAAAGCAAAAGACTTCAAAGCGTTCCTGGCTTCAGACAACCTTGGTCTGAGCTCTGTCTCTAGTAGCCTTTTATGTTGTGTATGTACAGATGAGGCTTTCAACAACAGTCCACTGGGTCTGAACATCTCCCGTGAGCCCGGAAAGGCAAACGTCATTGGGACAGCCTGGCAACTAATAAACCACACATTACTCTGCATCTCATAAAACTCCATGAAGTTCATTTATTCTCTTCTGAAAATGCATAACTAATGGGAAGCCTCTTCTTGCCAGTTATTGTAGCACTGCACAAAGAAATTTAGATGTGGAAGCTTCTATTAATAGCAGTGAACGAGCTACTAATTGGATGGTTATGTAATGGCATTGTTATGAAACCTAGTTTGGGTTTGACACCTTCTGTTTTCTAAAAACAATGTTAAAAACACCAAACAAATCCTTGGTTAGCAGTAACAAGAAACAAAGACTAAATAATTACCAATCTTTCAAAACTCAGATTAAAAAGGGAAAAGAAAAAACCAACCAATCAATTCATTTATCTGAATTCTAGCAGAAATGGGCTGAAAGTGAATCATTCAACAGATCTGCTGTTCAAAGGGATACTTTAAAGTAACTTTCTTTAATACCTGCCCTGAAAATACTGACAGAAATTTCAGTGGCCTGTTTCTGCGACTTGTGAAATCTCGGAGAGTTTTTGTCTATTTAAAGAAATGGGCTTTGAATGAGTATGAACAGAATATAATTTAAAGAGAAAGAACAACCAGAAGATATCTCTGTGACACACGCTGATACAAATCATGTACTAGGATTAGGCATGGATCTCTACTTTGGTAAATGCTCATACAGATGCACCTGTAGAAGTTTGACATTTTTTAACTAACTTAAAAAAAAAAAAAAAAAAAAAAAAGGGTGACATTTAGTTCCCTGCCATACAGAAAGAGAGAAAATTGCACTCCATTAGGAGAGAAGCTTTTATCTGGGGTGGCCCCTTGCAGTGCCTCTGTTCTTGGTTATTCTGAAGGCTGCGCATCACTAATGCAATGTACAGGACTGGAAACTTCTCCTCCTGATGAAACCCAACTACTGTTGTCTATTTGTGGGGTTATTTTCCTTTTGATAACATCAAATGCAGCAAGCATACAAAGCCTATAAGGATCCCTCCAGAGGTTTGTAGTTATATAATAGTATTTAAAGACATGAAAATACTTGGGCAACACTGCACAGCTCTAATGCCTCTTGGTTTAACCTTTGACCGTGAAATTACCTCTCAACATGCACAGTACCAACAATTGTTGTTTGATCAGTGTTATCTATAACCTTTTGTTGCAGAGGTAAATCAAGACTGTCACTCCAAAAGTGCTTCCTTAATGAAGGAGCGCGGGATTCTCACACAAGCAACCTAACAAACACTTCAGCTGTCTATCTATAAACACACACCCTCCCATTTGTTCAGAGAAATCCATGAAGTTGCTTCCAATTGAGTCACCTCTTAAATTTCAGGAAGCCATGAGAGCGGTAGCAGCAGCATGGGAGGAAAGCAGGGTGTGGCGGCAGCATTGTGACCCGCACGTAAAGGAATTTAGCCCCTGACACAGAGAGTGGGTATAGCCGCATGCACTGTCCTGCAGGAGCCAGGCACACCATACATATACACAGCTATATGGAAGCCATCACATGGATTGTCTCTGTCATCTCCAGCAGTTTTGCAACTGGTAGGATATTTTGGGTTATGCTCCTTTTTATTGCTTTTTATCTGGCAACAGATACTATACTATACTCAGCCATGCCGACTCCATGTTATTTTCCATCCCTTGTCATTTTACATTGTCTAGGTGATGATAAAAACCCTGATTCAGCCCGCACAGTATGTTAGGAAGGGTTTATATCGATAAAGGAAAACTCCACTTCGGTTCCTTCATTGTTAAAGCACCCAGAGGAGGCAGCCAAAGGGCTTATAGAAATTTGATGCATGATGTCCCATCACCACAGTAATTACAGCAAGCATGCCTAAAAAGCTGTGTTAACTTAGGATTCAGCAACTGTTGAAAGGAACAAGACATTATAGAAATGAAGCAGGAATTTGGGTGGTCCAGATGTCTCCCACATGTACCCAGTTAATTATCAAGAAACATTGTATGTGTGTCTGTGCATATATATCAGTATGCATACATATATATATATATATATCTCCAGACTATTAACTTCATTCGAATATTTTGGAGTCACAATGTAGCAAATAATACCAGAATCTTCTCCTAAAATGCAGTATCACCATGCTTTCCTACTCCTGTATGTCAGATGAAATGAGTTTTCTCTTAAATGCATCTTTTCACTAGTAGTATAGTTTGTCTGTTTTGTTATTCTGTAATTTCACTTGTGTGGGAAGGAAGAGGGATATAGTAGCTCCTCTGAGTAGTACTGCTATTTCATATTTCTGTTGTGGTAGTACCGAGGGGTTCCAATAGGATACAAACTTACTTTGTCATCCATTTCACTGTAGGACCGAGTTCATCAGAACTACAAAGTTCATTCACAGTCCTATGGTTTCTTAATTCTCATTTATCCTGAATTTATACTTGTATAAATTTATGCTTTCACAATACTTCAGAAGCTTCTAAAATACTTTAAGTACTCTCTAAGTCTTTAAATGCTGTTTACATTTTAGATACCTTTAAAATATTTGAGTTACCTTTAAATGATGTTTAAATATAGGAAATTTTTTCCTATGTATGATGTAACTTTTTCCCCTTTCTAATAATGTTTTTTCCACCCTTTGCATTGCTTACCTGCAGTGATAGTACATCTAGCTACAACCTACTCTCTGTATATATGCTGCTGATCACCGTTTTTCTGCGGGTATGGCAACCCAAGCTTTCTTGTTGGTGAGTGCATGTAATTATTGTCTGTCTTTTTGTCTATTAACATCCGTTACCATTTCCTGCTGGGTTTATATATACTTCATTTCATGTGTTGGTCATATTTCAACTGATTGCTGGCATTTTATGCTGATGGCCAAAATTTGTGAAAGAAGTGAACCGACCAGTAACTTCCAATGATAATTTTGAAGTCAGACTACTTGTTTGCATGGAGAAGTGGTTAGTTTGTTTGTGACACCACTTTGATGCTATTTTGGGAACCCAGCTCACAGAGTGTTAAAAAACCAAACTGTTCCTGGGCCTTCTGGTATTGTCGTTCAAAGGAAGAAACACTTGGCTTGGTCGTGACTACAGCGTGACTAAGATTGGGACAGAAAAGCCTTCCAGGGTGATTAAGTTATTTAGGTGCTCTTTTTGCCTTTGTGGTGCTTTGCCATGGAAGGTGGAATCACAGAGGAAAAATACGAGCTGAAGGAAAGATGGTTTTCCAATGGAGAAACTGAGAAGCTACTTCTCTGCAGGATATCATCCAGGAAATAGCATTTTTTGTTTTTCTCTATTTTTTACCAGGTCTTTGGTTTTGGTTTGTTTGTTGATTTTGGGTTTTTTTTCTTCTTCTTTTTTAATAAATGGAGAGACCTCCCTGCAATTCTGAATCAGAAAGATTCTCTAGATAGAAGTCAGGATGGGGAATGAGCTTACCTATAGCTTGTATCAGCTGGAGGAGACACTGTTGAATATCCACATTCCCTATCATGCACCAGCCTCTGGGTAAACTGTGTGGTACAATGCATTGCTAAAAGCTACATTGTGAGTGCTGTGTGATGCTTAATTGCCGGCCAGGGTTAAACCCGACAATATGTGTAATCATTACTTGCAGTATGAATCATACTAATTACTAGAAAAATATTTATTGAGACAAAGCTTAGATACAGTTAAGGAGGTGAATCTAATTTAGCAGCTTTCTATGCCCTGTATTGGCCATCAATTTTTCTTGAAATAAAAATGATAGTAGCACATCCATCATATTTCACAATTCCAAGAGAAAAATTAGTTCTCCAAGTGTGAAAAATTTCTTCTGCTTATTTATGCAAGTTTATTTAGTGCTAATACATTGAAAGGAAGATGGTGTTGTAAAGCTCATAAAGACCAGGGCTGCGTTAAAGTTCCTTCCTGTAACACAGCATTTCCAAAAGCTGCTTACAACAACTTTGTTTGCTAGAATCTCCCAACCAAGGGGTGTCCATTCCACCCAAACCTGGCAAGCCACAGCCTCTGAGCTTCTCAGACAGCTCTCTGCAGGTATGTATGAGCCCTAACAATGTAGCTGTTGAAGCCAGCTATTTAATATTTGCTCTTTCCAAACAGACATCTAACAAAGCTGCCTATTAATTCCAATTGCAGCAGAGTCTCATGTATGGCATTGCCTTCTGCTTAAGGTCACCCTTTGTTTTGCTCCATCCAGTGAAGGGCCACTGCACAGGAGCTTCTCCTGTTCCTCTCCTTGGATGGCTGTAAGGGAAAGGCCTGCCTTCCTTCACTCCATCTGCAAGCTATCCGTGCTGCTTCTGAATAGCAACAGTGAGCAGAAAAAAATACCGAAATTGCCAATTTTGCCCCTTGCCTGAAAATGCTCTCATTTGGTCAGATATCCCACTGTGAAACATCTCTCTGCATTTCAAGCAAGGGGATGGTGAAGGGCTGGACTGGAGAAGACACTTGCCCTCAGCTGACCCAAATGTAAGCAAGAAGCAAATGCTTTGCACTTTAATGTCTATCTGGAGAGAACCTAGGCAGAGAACTGACAGGATCATCTTTAATTTGCTCAACAAACAAATGATCATTACAGTAGCCTTTTGTACCATAAAAGCAGGGAGAACAGGTATCATGTTACATATAACTGAAACACAGCGCTCACATTCACAGCTGTGCCCTTATCGAGATCTTTTGCGCTACAACAATCGGTGTTTTCTGGAGCTCGAGATAACACGGTAAAGGAAATGTGGGGAAATGCTGGCACTCATGCAAATGATTAGAACAAAAACCAACAGAAAGAAAAAGGGTGTTCTTGTATTACTGATTGACATTTTGCATAGTAACTCCACGTGAAAAGGAAACTGAAGCTTCCTTCTTACTCAGATAGTTTTGTTCTAGTGAACTGGTTTAGACAATTTGCACTTAATTTGAGGAATCATTTTTTACCTGATATTTTTTGCCCGGTAAATAAGAATATATTTGTTGCTCTGAGTATTCTGGAGTGTGCTGAGTACAATATGTGAAGATGTAAGAAATGGCATTCTGACAAAGTTAGATTAGTCCACAGGCCAGCCGTTTGTAAGTTGTACATATCTTTATTCTTACTTCCTTTCATTTTTCTCTTACTATTAGCACTCCCTGCTGCCTAGGTCACAAAACCAGTTACTGCATTTCTCCTCTATTTATATTTAAAGCCTCCACAAGTCTTACAACTGTTTTTCTTCAGCCTTCTCAGTCAACACTGTCTCAACACAAGCCTATGCACTAGTTCTTTCAAGATCTTCCCCTTTTCTGACCAAAACTTCTCCGCCCTCTTCAGTTCAATCTGTCTAAACTATTGTCATCCAAATTATTCCCTTTTCTCACCACTCTGAGAACATTCCCCTACCTCTAAAATCTCAACACTGACTTATTTCCCTCATCAAATCCAAGCCTGTCTCTTTTCTCGG